ATATAATGATTGAATTTAACTTATCCAACAAAAAGGATAAAGTCATATATGGATTTCTGTTGGACGTCAGAAGTTGGAACTATTTTATACATTGAATTTTTCACATACACCAAAAAACTTCATGCAAGAGGTCAGAGAATAATTGGATAACAATAAATTTTGTTTACAATATATAATGACTGAGTTTAATATATTCAACAAAAATAATTAAATCATACCTAGAGTTATGTTAGACATCAAAAGTTGGAACTTACTTATCCATTGAATTTTTCACATACTCATAAAAAAATCCATGCAAGATGTCAGTGAATGAATAGATAACAATGAATTTTATTTATTATATATAGTGATTGAATATAATATATCCAACAAAAATATTTAAATCATACCTAGATTTTTCTTAGACATCAAAAGTTGGAACTGACTTATCCACTGGATTTTTCACATACCCCAAATAAATTTGTACAAGATGTCAGGTAAAGAATGGATTTTATTTATTATGTATAATCATTGAATTTAACTTATACAACAAAAAGTATCAAATTATACTTAGATTTATGTTAGACGTCATTAGTTGCAACTAACTTATTCATTGAATTTTTCAATACACAAAAAAAATATGTGCCAGATGTCAGGGAAATAATGGATAACAATTACTTTTATTTATTATATATAGTGATTGAATTTAACTTATCCAACAAAAAGTATTAAATTATACTTTGATTTTTCTTAGACGTCATTAGTTGCAATTAACTTATTCATTGAATTTTTCACAAACACCAAAAAAATGTGTGAAACATGTCAAAGAAATAATGGATAACAATTACTTTTATTTATTATATATAATGATTGAATTTGACTTATCCAACAAAAAGAAGTATGGAACTATTTTATGCATTGAATTTTTCGCATACACCAAAAAAGTCCGTGCAAGATGTCAGAGAAAAATGGATAACAATGGATTTTGATTTATAATATATAATGATTGAATTTAATATATTCAACAAAAAGAATTAAATCAAACCTAGATTTATGTAAGACGTCATAAAGTTGAACTAACTTATCCAATTAATTCTTCACATACACCAAAAAACTCCGTGCAAGAGGTCAGAGAATAAATGGATAACAATAAATTTTGTTTACAATATATAATGATTGAATTTAATATATTCAACCAAAATAATTAAATCATACCTAGAGTTATGTTAGACGTCAAAAGTTGGAACTATTTTATCCATTGAATGTTTCACATACACATAATAAAATACGTGCAAGATGTCAGCGAATGAATAGATAAGAATGAATTTTATTTATTATATATAGTGATTGAATATAATATATCCAACAAAAATATTTATATCATACCTAGATTTTTGTTAGACATCAAAAGTTGGAACTAACTTATCCATTGAATTTTTCACATACACCAAAAAACTTCATGCAAGAGGTCAGAGAATAATTGGATAACAATAAATTTTGTTTACAATATATAATGACTGAATTTAATATATTCAGCAAAAATAATTAAATCATACCTAGAGTTATGTTAGACATCAAAAGTTGGAACTTACTTATCCATTGAATTTTTCACATACACATAAAAAAATCCATGCAAGATGTCAGTGAATGAATAGATAACAATGAATTTTATTTATTATATATAGTGATTGAATATAATATATCCAACAAAAATATTTATATCATACCTAGATTTTTATTAGACATCAAAAGTTGGAACTAACTTATCCATTGAATTTTTCACATACACCAAAAAACTTCATACAAGAGGTCAGAGAATAATTGGATAACAATAAATTTTGTTTACAATATATAATGACTGAATTTAATATATTCAACAAAAATAATTAAATCATACCTAGAGTTATGTTAGACATCAAAAGTTGGAACTTACTTATCCATTGAATTTTTCACATACACATAAAAAAATCCATGCAAGATGTCAGTGAATGAATAGATAACAATGAATTTTATTTATTATATATAGTGATTGGATATAATATATCCAACAAAAATATTTAAATCATACCTAGATTTTTCTTAGACATCAAAAATTGGAACTAACTTATCCACTGGATTTTTCACATACCCCAAATAAATTGGTACAAGATGTCAGGTAAAGAATGAATTTTATTTATTATATATAATCATTGAATTTAACTTATACAACAAAAAGTATCAAATTATACTTAGATTTATGTTAGACGTCATTAGTTGCAACTAACTTATTCATTGAATTTTTCAATACACCAAAAAAATATGTGCCAGATGTCAGGGAAATAATGGATAACAATTACTTTTATTTATTATATATGATGATTGAATTTGACTTATCCCACAAAAAGAAGTATGGAACTATTTTATGCATTGAATTTTTCGTATACACCAAAAAAGTCCGTGCTAGATGTCAGAGAAAATTGGATAACAATGAATTTTATTTATAATATATAATGATTGAATTTAATATATTCAACAAAAAGAATTAAATCATACCTAGATTTATGTTAGCGTCAGAAATTTGAACTAACTTATCCAATTAATTCTTCACATACACCAAAAAAAATCCTTGCAAAATGTCAGGTAAAGAATGAATAACAATGAATCTTGTTTATTATATATAATTATAGAATTTTACTTATCCAACAAGAAGTATTAAATAATAACTAGATTTTTGTTAGATGTCAGAAGTTGAAACTAACTTATCCATTGAATTTTTGAAAAAATCCGTGGAATCTGTCAGGGATAGAATGGATAACAATGACTTTTATCTATTATATATAATGATTGAATTTAACTTATCCAACAAAAAGAATAAAATCATACCTGGATTTCTGTTGGAACTAACTTATCTATTAAATTTTTCACATATACCAAAAAAATCCGTGCAAGATGTCAGGTAAAGAATGGATAATAATGAATTTTATTTATTATATATAATGATTGAATTTAACTTATCCAACAAAAAGTATTAAATTATAATTAGATTTTTGTGACGTCATTAGTTGCAATTAACTTATTCATTGAATTTTTCACATACACCAAAAAAATCCGTGCAAGATGTCAGAGAAAAATGGATAACAATGAATTTTATTTATAATATATAATGATTGAATTTAATATATTCAACAAAAAGAATTAAATCATACCTAGATTTATGTTAGACGTCAGAAATTTGAACTAACTTATCCAATTAATTCTTTACATACACCAAAAATATCCGTGCAAAATTTCAGGTAAAAAATGAATAACAATGAATCTGTCAGAAGTTGGAACTAACTTATCTATTGAATTTTTCACATACACTCAAAAAATTTGTGCAGGATGTCAGATAAAGAATGAATAACAATGAACTTTATTTATTATATATAATGATTGAATTCAACAAAAAGTATTAAATCATACCTAGATTTGTGTTATATGTCAGAAGTTCCATTGAATTTTTCAGATACACCAAAAAAATCCGTGCAAGATGTTAGGTAAAGAATTGATAACAATTAATTTTATTTATTATATATAATGATTGAATTTAACTTATCCAGCTAAAAGAATTAAATCATACCTGAATTTCTGTTATACGTCAGAAGTTGGAACTAATATATCCATTGAATTTCACATACACCGAAAAGATCCGTGCAAGATGGGAAAGAATGGACAACAATGACTTTTATTTATTATATATAATTATTGAATTTAACTTATCCAACAAAAAGAATTAAATCATAACTAGATTTCTGTTAGACGTCAGAAGTTGGAACTAATTTATCTATAGAATTTTTCACATATACTAAAAAATCCGTGCAAGATGTCAGGAAAAGAATGGATAAGAATGACTTTTATTTATTATATATAATGATTGAATTTATCTTATCCTACAAAAAGAATTAAATCATACATGGATTTCGGTTAGACCTGAGAAGTTGGAACTAACTCATGTATTCAATTTTTCACAAACACAAAAAAAAAATCCGTGCAAGATGTCAGGGAAAGAATGGACAACAATGACTTTTATATATTAGATAATGATTGAATTTAACTTATCCGACAAAAAGAATTAAATCATACTTGGATTTGTGTTTGACGTAAGAAGTTCGAACTTACTTATCCATTCAACTTTTCACATACACTAAAAAAATCCGTGCAAGATGTTAGGCAAAAAATGGATCACAACCATTTATGAGAAAATGTCAACGGTGTGTTTGTTCTGTTTTTTTTATTTTTTTATTTTTTTTTTGTGAATTATAGTATGCTGGTAAATATATATATAATTTTAAGAAAAAAAACTATATATTATTAAATACTTAAGTTTTTTCTTTTGGACTTTTTATTTGTAATATGGTTATTTTTATTATTTTTTCTTAAATTATATTTATGAGCCAAGACATAGAACGTAGTTACATAGAGTAAATCCAGAAGTTAACTTAATAGTTCCCATCCCTCAAAAAAGTTCATCAAAAAAAAAAAGAAAACACAATTTGATTTCCTGCCTTGCACTCTGTTCCAACTCTCTACTTTCACAAGATCATGTAGTATTTGTTAGAATTTGTTTCACACAACGGTAGCTTTGCTTTGTATGGAGTTGAGCACTAGTTCGCCCATTTCAACCCCGCCAACAAATTTCTCTGCAATCAGAACCAAATAATAATTACACATGAAAATCGAGGACAGAAAATAATAAGAGAGCGAACAACTGATGATTGATTGTGTTGTTCTTACAATTTGGGACCAGAATATATCGCCACTGCGATATCCTCTACTTAGAACATCCAACATGGATGTCGTTACGAGGAGTACGGCCTTCATCAAGAATCACTAGCTCAGGGATCTGAAGAAGTGTCGTCCTCAGAACTTCCAAGTTCTGTTCAGCACCGGTCCTCTGCCCCTCCACGTGCTTCTGCGCCGTTAACTTCTCCAGAAGATCATAGCTAATCTCCGAAAGGCCTCCCCCTCTCTTCCACGAATATATTTTGACCATGCGATATCAAAATATTAAGAAAACATTCTTAAAACCTTATAACTTAAGCTATCCAATCAAACACATTTAGTGCAAATATAGAGCAATTGCAAAATTAACAATCGGTCAAAATAATTAAAAAGGTTACAAAATTCATCATAAATCTTTACAAATCACAACCTATTCTACAAGTGTCTGCATTTTGACTCTTCGCCAGGAATGAGCTTTGATGCCTCGACTGCTTGCATATCAATTCGATTGGTTGGCACTTGCGACTTGCATTTTTGGGTGAGGTAAGGATGAACAGTTACCAACGAGAATCCAAATTCACTCTTAAATGGTTTCCTCAACAGTTCCTCTTCCAGCCTGTCGATCAGTCTCTTTTGCAATCCAGTCGGTTTCAGGAGGATTACAGAGTCTCTTAATCCAGGGAGATTATTTTGTAGGACAGTTCCCAAATGCAAGATGGAGACTTTAAGCCTCTCCACTACACGATTGGCTGCTCCGGGAAGTAAAGCAGGCCGAGAGCTTTGGGCTTTCTTGTCTGAATGCATAATTTCAGCGAATTTCCGATCCTGCTTAATCTTTCCTGCCACTGTCGGCCTTACGATCTTCAGGGTATTGAACAGCTCTTCGAAGTTGTTTTGGAACGGCATCCTGGACAATATGACACACTTTTCTGTCTTGAGCTGAACTAGGGATGTCCAAATCTTACTCCTGTTGTTTCTAGGAGTATGGCCTTCATCAAGAATCACTAGTTCAGGCATCGCAAGAAGTGTCGACCTTAGAACTTCCAAGTTCTCTTCAGCACCTGTCCTCGCCTACATTTTCTTCCTCCACGTGCTTCTTTGCCGTTAACTTCTCGAAAGAATTGTAGCTAATCCCCAAAAGGACTCCCCCCCCTCTTCCACGCATATATTATGACCATGCAGGTAGCCTCCATATCGCGGCATCTGATCTTTGGCCCTTTAAAGAGATGGTCAGCAGCCGCCCTCTCGTCGCCGATGAATGCTGGATTGTTCAGGTTGCGGAAATGAAACACAGCCCTCCACATTCTGAACTCTAATTCCCAAGTACATAGTATGTTTTGCTGGTATGATAATCATGGAAGACAGTTTGAAACATCTTTAGATACGTCTCAAGGAATACAATCGTCAGATGTGTCTTTCCAGTACCTGGTGCATGAGAAATGATGCATTCGCCCACCCCAGGTAGATTTGAGTTCTTTAACTCCGAAATATCAGTACTTCCTGCCAAGTTCTTCAAGAGGAACTCAAATCCTTCTTGCTGGTGTTCATAGATAGTTTCTCGTACACCAGCCTTGATGCTCCAAACAAAGCCGCTAGTCTAGCAGCATCACTACCGGGAGATAAATGGCGCCAAGATCCAGACCCTCCCGTTTCTCCTGCTTCTTCTTCCTGTTTTGCGGAGCATGTTGAGCTTTGATCACCTGCAAAAGGAGAAAGAAGAAGTCATATAAACAGGGGTAGCTGCACAAATTTTAAATCAACCTAAAATTGCACTCACCTAGTTTCGGATAACAGAATAGTGCAGAATTAGTGAGAATAGATATAAATTAAGTGGAACAATTTTGATGTTACCAACAGTTGGATGATTTTCGGATTTAGTTCTTTAGAGGAAGCAATTGATATATACTTACCCATGGAGGAAGTACATCCTTCGGATGAATCGTTACATGATCACAGTCGATACAATACAGTCCTGAGTGTCTATTCATGCAACCCTCGAGCACATCTGGGCTCCTGAGTGTCTTCCTCCTCCTCATCCACTTGAACAGCCTGCAGGCCGGGAATGCAGCGCTAGTTATCATATTTGCTTTCTGAATTAAAATAGTGCTGAATTAACTCTGAATCTGTGTCGAATCAATTATTCTCTGTTGAAACTAAATGACATACCTCACGGCTGGTAATCGTCCCCATTTCTTCCACAGCGCAGTTAAAGTTCAACTCTTCAATAAAAATCGCCCGCCTCCTTCGTCAACTCAGCTTCTCTCTGCTCCTCTTCTGTCAGTGGCACCACATCATCCTCAAAACTGAACTTCTTTAGAAGAGCAGGGTAGTCTTCAGCTTCGCCTGTATGCATTATCCCAGATGGTCGTCCGAGATGGATTCTTCTAGGAACTTGGAGATGTCAAATTGTTTTGGCCTCGTCTTCTTCTCTTTGGCCCTTGTTATGAACTTCGTCATTTCCTTAAGCCAATAGGGAATGTCATCTCCATCACTGCTGTTTCTGCTAGTCCGTGGAGCTTTTTGAAACGCTGTGCTTTTAAGATTTCTTCGACTTCACAAATTTCTGACCGCCTCCTCCACTTCGTCTTCCTCTGAGGAGAGTTCACTGCAGCCTTCCATTTTGGATTTCCAATTCCGTGCTGCTCTGAAGACTCCACAGGAGCGCCTTCCTCTGCTGCTCGTTATGCTGACACTATCCCCTGAATCTCCTTCCAAATCGCCAATTTCATGGCATTCTTCAAGGGGAGCCACGAATTTTAAATCAACCTAAAATTGCACTGACATACTTTCGGATGACAGAGTAGTGCAGAATTAGTGAGAATAGATAAATTAAATCGAACAATTTTGATGTTACCAACAGTTGGATGATATTCGGAGTTTAGTTCTTTAGAGGAAGCAATCGATATATACTTACCCACGGAGGAAGTACATTCTTCGGATGAATAGCCACATGTTGACTACCTCACGGAAGGTAATCATTTCCATTTCTTCCATAGCACAGTTAAAGTTCAACTCATCAATCGAATTGTCCACCTCCTTCATCAACTCAGCTTTTCTCTGCTCCACGTCTGTCAGTGGCACGACATCGTCCTCATAACTGAACTTCTTCGGAAGTGCATTGTCCCAGATGTCAACTCTTTCGTCATTTTTCACTTTTCGGCTCTTTGTCAGAGTGAAGTCTTCATTGCCAGACAGCTCATCCACAACATAAATTATCGAACCTTTGGTAACAGTATCCACCGAATTGGAGGGCCTATCGGAAGGGCTGTCAGAATTATCCTGGTTGGTGCGGCGATAAGAAAGTTTGCATGATCGACATGGCCAGCGACTAGCAATGGGAATTGTGAAAACCAAAGAATGGACAATGCTAGCGTGGGCATGAAGGCTCTGAATTTTAAACTATTTGGCAATGATCCTCTTGCAGGTGTTGGGGCAGCTACAGAGAGTGTCTCGAGTTTCAAACTATTTGGTGTGATGGCATCTACTACTGTTTCGGGCAACAATGGTGTTGAGAAAACTCTGGAAAATTGCTCGAGTTTGAAACTCTTTGGTACGGACGTAGCTACTGATGCTTATGGGGGCATGAAGGGGCCTCTGGAAAATGGGTTGGATTTTCGACTGTTTGGGGTGACGACACCAAATGTTGCAGACAACAGTTCTCTTGGGGGAATGAATGTACCCGAAGAAAATGGGTCGGGTTTTAAGCTGTTTGGCGTGAAGGCATGTATTGGCAGCAACAATGTGATGGAAAATGAGGAGGGGGTTTTAAGCTCTTTGGGGTGAATGTACCTTCTTCATCATCTACCTCTTCAAAGCTATCGAAAATGGAGTTGTCCACCTACAAAAGTGAAAAGCAATTGCAAATATGACGATGATTGCAGTTATTGAAATAGAAGCAGTATAGCTTCAAGAACATTATACTTACCACGAGCTCAAAACCTGGTATGCATCAAGCTGCACATGATCACGGGCCGTGCAAATCAATCCTCGGCTACCCATATATGACAGGCCATGGTTTCCGCCGGTGCGTCCTTCATTTTGAGCTGCTTGGCGTGCTTGTGTTGAAAGGCTTCAGCGTCAGAAATCCCAGGGAAACAATAGTGAAACTGCACTACCTTCCCGGCCAGGTATCTTAAACAGCACTGTTACATCTGCTTTGTCATTGGCTGTTGGTTGATGATTGTGTATTGATTCCAAAACTTCAGGTGTTAAAACTCCAGATCAAACTAATAGACAGAGTTCCAATGAAGGTAAAGTTATTCCCTCTGTGACTAGTCGAGGAGGCACAAAGGCCATCCCATCTCCTGTTGTTAATCCCTTGATGCCTCTCTCATCGCCCCTGTGGAATATGGCAACCCCATCTTGTGAGGGACTGCCATTGAGCAGGATGACCAAAAGCTCCACTTTCGATTATCAGGCTCTTTCACCCTTGAATCCGAGCCAAATTCCACCTATAAGGAATTATGTAGCACATTCCTCTGGGCCCTTGCAGGCTTCCTTTCCAGTACCCTGGCTTGCCTCGTCGCTAAGTTCTCCTTTTGATATCACTACTAGCTATCCTAATTTTACAATCATGGAGCCAGTAAAATTAACTCAAGCCAAGGAAACATTCTTGCCAATCGGCACGGGCACAAAGCACATCTCTCCCATTCCTGCTACGCTGACTGCACTAATCCTTCCAATGGACCACAGAGGAATTCCAGCATCTCCGGTGTTATTTCGGACAGAAGAACTCTACCAATCCTTAGTGAAGGAGACGTCAATTCCCTTCTCTCATCTCTTAGTAAGATGGCTTTGTCATTCCCCTCGAGCCTCGACCGAGAATACCTTCTCTCGTCTCTAATCATAATAACGCTGTTGTACATTCCCATTGATGATATTGAGCTCGTGATGTGTTGGTTCAAATGTATCATTCTGTTTAGCTAATTTGAACTCAATTGGAATGTTCTCAATGCATACTTTGACTATAATCAGTGCAGAATTTAAAGAATAGTGGAATATTTTTAATGCATACTTTTATTATAATCAGTGCAGAATATAGACAAATGTGCACTAAATAAAATGATCATTTTCATATAAAGTTAGTGCCCATCTATCTATATTGTATGTTGGTTCTAGATTTAATAAACATAAGTGTCCAAAAAATAAAATAAAGTTTTAGTTTAATTTAAATTGCGGCAGACATTCAACAAAAAAAAAATTAATTATATGGCCAGGAAAGATAAAGAAATTAATTAAGTATATAAAAATCCTATTTTATTTGTGACTTTAAATTCAATTTTAATATTATTTTACCCTCAAAACTATTTAGATAGGAAACATCAAAACTATTTTAATAAATCTCATACGTAACACCAATGGTTACAAAAGAAAAATAAAATTTTTAATATAGTTGTTAAATCAAGATTAAGGTTTCCTTAAAACCCTTCTCCCCCCTTCTCTTTTTATGATCTCAAACTAATTTTTTCTGCAAATTATGAAAATTCCATTATAGAATTTTTTTTTTCTTAAGATTTATTAGGGCATACCCTTTTTTTTTTTTTTTTTATACTACAAAACTAATCTAACCAAATGCTCTTATCCTATGGAACTCTAAACTTCAGTTATGATCACTCTAGAAAAATTGGCAAAAACTGGGATCAATCTAGTAGGCAAAAAGAAATCAAACATAAAGCTAATCTTCCCAGACATATAAATCACCAAAATGAATACGAAAAAAAATTGTCAAAGTCAAGAGAAAGCAAAAAAACCTAGCGATCTTTATTATACGTAATGATTGAAATCAAGAGAGCAATATGTTTCTTTTCCTTCCCGATTAAATTTTTGGATATTAAATAAGTTTTCCTCGGAGAAAATATCATCATCGAATCTAATTTTTAATTAAAATTTATAATCTAATAATTATTTTAAAATTCAAAATTTGTTAATATTTATAAAATAGAAAAAAAAAAAACTTCAAAAAACAAATACATACGCCACAAATTATTGATTTAGTGCAATAACTGCAACTATAATTATTACAAATGATATTTTCGGATTGAGAAAAACGAAAGACATATATGAAAAATGAAGCAACCATGGAAAACAATTACATCATGGACCATATTTTAAGAAATTGCAAAGAAAAATAACGAGTTTTTTTGCTGAACCCAAAATGTTTGGACATTCTTTCCAATTAATATTATAAAAACTACCATGTATAAATGTATTTACACAAATTACATAATATATTATATCTACTAAAAAAATCAATAATTCAATATAAAATATTATATTTTATATTACTGACGCACTTCCTTACATTTAACATTAAAAATGCATCAAACACAAAACAAACACACTCAAATATACCAAACAAAACAAAAAAATACTTACAGTTTTGTAATGGACAAAGGATGATGAATTCCTATCTTCTTCATGGCTTCTAAAAAAATTGCATAGGTTGAATAAATAGGTCTTTGCTTTATTATTAATGCAATTAATTATTTTTCTCTCAAATTTTTATATGACATGAGAGCCAATAGATCAAAATTATGTTCTCGACTTCCGGCCATCACCGACTCTCACCTCCGGCACCACTATGTTCCTCGTCGTTTGGCGACCCTTCTTCAGAAAAATCTCACCGATCAGCGGCGCACATGTAGGTCACATGCAATGGTCAACTCTCACGCTACCAGAAATTTGACCGGTGCGTGAGAAC